AAGAACACATGAAGTCATCAAAATAAAAGAAGCGTTTATCCACATATCAAAGCTGCTTGTGTTAGAGCAAGTACACCTACCAGTTAGCTAAGGATAACACCTCTGTAGCAACGATATTAGGAAAGTACAGAGATATCTTAATGCCAGTCAGAAAAGCAAACATACAGTACAAAGGATCTTGTGAAGTGCAGATTCAACAAGCAAACATTTAATGCAAAATCAAAGGCATTAAATGCAACAATCCATGAAGATTGTACAAAATAGATGAAAGAATCAAATGATGGCTAGTCAAGCATAAAAACGAAGTCTGCTCACGGACAGAAGAGGACACCCATCACCAGAATGAGACACTAAAGTATCAGACGAAGCCTATAAGGAATTATCAAGGCAAGACACGAACCAGACAAGTCAAGACAGATAAAGCAAGTGATATAGGAAACCGAGCGTCAAGAGATGAGTAGTTGAAACACGAATATTCACCAGTTGATCACAAAATATCCGGACAAAGTTGTGTCAAATGCAACTCCTCTAAAGCACAAATCAAACAAGGCATATGTCCATGGACAGAAAAAAGTCAATCATACATCAAGACCAAAAGTAGTACAGACTAAAAGATACTTTGGATGAAGACAAGTCTATCTGTAATATTGACCAGACCATATAAGACGCCAAAGCATCAACATCGAATACTCAGATGAAGAACAAGACAAGAGATGCATGAGATTAACAGACGCAAACGATGACTACCGCGCAAACACTTATCAAGTCTCAAAAGACTACTCAAAGCATTGTCTATGATCACACCAAAAGCCCTCAACGTAAAACACGTGATCTAAATGAAGGAACAAAGAAGAAGAGAAGCACGCAAAAGCAGAGCATGCATGTGTCAGAAAAAGTGCATCACTTTTTCAGAAAAGGAAAACGGCTATATTGCTGCATGACTAGAAAAAGACAAATAACTTCTAGGTCTCAGATAAAGTCAAGCATTGCTAGCAATAGGACAGAGAAGAATACACGCAATGTCTAAAAACATGAAGCAACATTAAATGCAAGACCAAATGCATTAAATGAAAGGATCAAACTAGTCATGAACGACTATATTAGCTTCAATGGACATATGCAACAGGAAAATTTTACAGGCCTATAAGTATGCAATAACATCAAACCAAAAAAGGTGTTTGATTAGGAATGATATTAAGCCCACAAGATAGAGACAGAGATACTAGAGATGAGCTTTCATAATCACTTGTACAATGTAAATTGTATGTGTATCTCTATAGACTAAGGTGTTTGAAATGTCAATTATGGACAAGCCTTAGAGAGAGTTGTAAACCTATGTATCCTCTCCATGAGAGTAACCTAAACACTCAAAGACATGTCTCTATAAGACAAAGGTAGAAAACCTTTGAGAGTGTAGATCCTATATGTATCCTCTCTATGTGAGTAACCAAAACACTCAAACCTGATTATACATCTATTATTTGTAAAGCCTGAAGAGGTTAGGGAAATAATACTTGTAAAGCCCGAAGGGGCTTGTCAAAGAATACTCATTACTAGCCAGAAGTGGCTAATAAGAGAATATTAGCGTTGGTGAGTGAAGCCAACGGGTTAGGAGTGGTCGAGAATACTTGGAAAACCAGAAGTGGTTTAAGAATACTAGCGTTGGTGAGTGAAGCTAACGGGCCAGGAGTGGTCAAGAATACTTGGAGAACCAGAAGTGGTTTAAGAATACTAGCGCTGGTGAGTGAAGCTGGCGGGCCAGGAGTGGTCGAGAATACTCAAGGCCAAGAGTGATCGAGAATACTCAGGTCCAGGAGTGGACGATAATACTCAATGTTCTTCATTTTTAATATATAGTGGAACCCTTCAATTGAAGGAGACTGGACGTAGCTTAGTTGAGCGCACCAGTATAAAATGATTGCAATGCTTTTCCTGTTTGACTAGGAGCATATCTTTCTTACTGAGTAAATATTTGTGGAAAACTTCGTCCAATATTTACATACAGTTAAAACCAATTTTCAGACGAAGACGCAAGTTCGTTTAATAGATATATTACACCGAAAAGTTTTATCTACTGCTTATCCTTAAATGAAACTATCTTGAAAAGGAAAATGTAAGAACTTCAATAATTATCATTATGAAACATTTTCCTTAGCAAACGATAAACCCTTTAGACACATTGACCTTATGTTAAACAAATTCTGCATAACAGTCTGATGTTTAAAAGTGCATTGGACAAAGAACATTACTCTTGCAAAAATGATTTGAAAATTCCTTCGTACACACACACATATTCAATCCCCCCTTCTATGTGGTTTTCCGCTAACTTCAATGACTTGTATTGGTTATATGATTTATGTTTTATGAGTCAAATTGTATTTTGTTGTATCAACTTATTTGTATCAGTAGTTTGTTATTATTTATATCTTTGTCTCTTTGTTTGTGTTTAGCAATTTGACTATATTCTACGTCGTGGGTCAGAGTGAGGTGTTTCTTACTCTCATTGTTTTGTGTTTGTCTCTATTGTATGTTCTTATAGGTGATTTACATCATGAGGTTAAAGATGTTGCTGGTGAGGCCTAATCCTTGCAATTGGATTCATGCTATGGTAGGATGTGACATCAAGGCTTAATTAGAATGTGTTTCTTTTAGTTATGTTTTTGGGCAATGGTTATTTTAATGTATTAGATTTCATTTGGATATTAGTTGATTTTATTTTGTTAAAATGTGATACTCTCTATGTTGAACATGATAGATTTTCATTATAATAAATTTCTTGATTCAATTTTATTTATTTTAAAATTATACGGGATAAAGGGTGTCATAATAAACACATATCCAAATACCAGTTGCACCCCCTAAATTACTAAATACACCCTAAAAAGAAATTACAAGAAAATAAAATATTACACTAATTGATCCAAAAATACAAGATCAAAAATAAGAAAACATTTACTATATATATATATATATATACACATATATGGATTAAGAAATTAAGCTATAGCCCAAATCCAAAAGGAGTTTACACCTTCTATCTTTATCATAAACTCATTCCTCTTGTATCCTCTTTTGACATAACTCTTGTGATAAGATCTTTAAGGGGAAATATGTCATCAAGTCCCTTAAAGCCACCAATAGCATAACTGATTGTAACAGATTATGATAGTGTTAAATCAAAAAATCTTTTCTTTAAGACAAAAGACGATCCCTTACGTTTTAATGTTGACAAACAAAAAGATTTCCTTTAAGCAAAACGTTAGCATTCTTCGATGATAAAACAGATTAGACGAAATGTGAAAATAACACATATCATTTGTAAGATGAAAGAAATTAGACGAAGCATATAGTTTGTCTGACTTACATTAAATAAATAAGACTGGCATTGCGTTTGCTTTAATGTGTTATTTCTCAACAGATTAAACAAAAAGAGCTTCTAAAAATCTCAAAAAGCATTAATGAGGAAAAAGACAAAAAGACAAAATCTCTATGAGAAGCCAAAAACACAATCTTGGATATCACAGAAAATAGATTGAAAGGGCTTGCTTTGCACCAACCCCAACAGCTCTACGTTGACACTCTCTATTACACTCAAAAGTAGAAGGAATGATGATAAATATTTGTCTAGATTAGATAATAGAGACACACATCTTTGATAAGTATTTAATGCTTTCATTAAATGCATCAAGAGTATTCTCCAAGATCAGTCAAGAAGACAGACGAAACAACATATGAAGAAATATGAATGTTTAAATTTGAACTTTGCTACAATGGTCATCTTCTCCGAAGTTGCTATATAAGGATCAAGCCTTCATACTACAAAGAAGCAATAATTTTTAGAACGCATATTGTATATACATGAAGAAAAGCTTTGTACATAAAAGAAAATATTCATCGAGCAGTTTTCATTGATCAAGTACGCTGAGAACAAGCTGAAGCACTACAAAGAAGATCTCATTTGCAAATCTTGTATCTAGTTCTTTGTAGTCTTTTTGTGTTGTATTTGGATAGCATCACATCTAGAAGAGATAAAGCTATTTTTGTAACTTTTATCAATTGTATTTGTAAGTGTTAAGTCTGAAGGGACTTGTTTAAAAGAATACTTAGTGATTAAGTCTAAAGAGGCTTGTTTAGAGAATACTTGGGTTTGAGCCTAAAGAAACTTGTCGAAAAAATACTTGGATTTTAGTCAAAAGTGGCTTGTAAAAAATACTTAGTGTTTAGTTAGAAGTGACTTATAAAGAATACTTGTTCATTAGCCAGAAGTGGCTCGTAAAGAATACTTGTATTTTGTTTTATGAAAGTGAAACTCAATCTAATTGGATTAAGAACTGGACGCAGTCACTAGATTGGAGACGAACCAATATAAAAACACTTGTGTCATTTCATCTCTTTTAATGCTTTTTCTGATTGTGCTCCAATACTTCGTTTGTCGCAACTTCTGTAATTTCACTATACTTAAAAAAGCACAAATTTTTTATATACGTTATTCAACCCCACTTTTGGTGTGTATCTTTTCTCCAACATATAGTTATACACCATCATCTGATTTAATTTAATGATTTTACTAATAAAAATATTAATATGTAAATTTTATGCGACATAATATTCAATAAAATCATCGATAATAACAAATGAGTTTTATTCAATAAAATCATCAATAATATTCAAAAAAAAAATCAAAATAAGATTTTTTTAAAATTATATAACTAAAAAAATTATTTATAAATTGAAGGATGAGTTATAAATTTAACTCAATTGAGGGAAACATATTTAACAAACTAATAATAACATTTGTTTTATATTGTTATTGTCTTATATTGTATCTTAACGTGTTTCCAACACTTTCTAAGATATTGATGAGATATAAGTATATAATATAAATTTCTAGTTACCAATTTCCGTTCCACTAAAAAAATGCATCCTAAACCTAATATTATATATACATATAAAAACAATATTTTGAAGGGACAAAAAGCACGTTTTATGAGGTTAGAAAATATCGTTTATGTTAATATAACGATATATGGCTTTCCTTTGCATAAGCTTAGTATCTCCCTTCAGCTAAGAGAAGCAGCGAATGAATGAAGATTAGGGATTTGTCGCTGCTTAGTCTCAATTCACTCCAAAAGAACCCTTCAAGAAATTCCGAACACGTACGCTCAATTCACTCTGCTCTGAACTTCCTTCATTCTCAATTGGTTTCTTAACTCATGTTCAGTTGAATTTTTTTCTCTCTCTCTAGATAAACATTAATAATGAATAGAGTAGTGAGAGTAATGAAATTGTTACCTCATTCACATTCTGTTGAATCTTTTCCATTTTCCAGATAAAAAAACAAATTAATTTTTTTTTTCTTGATGCAGTTTTGAGGCATTAGCTTTGCATTGCACCGAAGCCAGCATGAACGTGTTAGTCCCACAGCAGCACCACCACAACCTATCATTCTCCCAATGCAGCTTCCTTTTCAATCCCATGAAGACCCTTCATTTTGTTCAGCCTCCGGCACGTGCGAGCAGCGTGATCCGCATGGGTGGGGGTCCCCGCACGTACCCGGGGGGCGTGTCGAAGTGGCAGTGGAAGCGCATGCAGGAGAGGAAGGCGAAGCAGCTGCTGAAGGCGCGGCTGGGCCGGGAGCGGCAGATATACGAGATGCGGAAGCGGGCGGAGCTGAAGGCGGCGGTGTCGGAGTTGGAGAGGCCGTGGGAGGCTGTCAAGAGAGAGGAGGCTCCTAACTTGTTCTCCGTTGGGGCTGATGAGCAGGTGAAGGTTCTTGCTGACAGGTTCCAGAGGCCCGGTGGGTTTGACATGTGGAGTGAGAGGGATGGGCCTATGCTGTTTGAGAGCCCTGATGAGTTGCCCTCTGCTAGGTTTTTCCCCAAAGGGGTTGTGCATAGTGTTAAGCCTTATAGGAGGGTTGATGGGTATGGGTTGGTGAAGGGGGGTTTGTTGGAGGGAAATGATTGTGGTGGAGGTTTGAGTGAGGAGGGGATTGAGTTGGAGGATGTTGATGGTTCTCAATTGGAAGGTGATGGTGGAGAGTATTTATCTTCTGATGTGAGTTATGGAGTGGAGGGGGATGGTGGATTGAGGGAAAAGTGGGACGGGAGGGGGGTTTTGTTGGAGGATTTTGGTGGGTCTGAATTGGAAGGTGATGATGGAGAGTGTTCATCTTCTGATGTGAGTTATGGGAGGAATGGAGTGGACGGTCATGGTGGATTGGGAAGGAATGTGAATGGGAATGGGATGAGGTTTTTGTCTGATGATTTTGGGAAGTCTAGTGATGGAGGGCGGTCGTCTCGCTTGAATTATGGGGGGAAGGGTGTGGATGGTGATGGTAGGTTGAGAAGGAATGGGAATGCAAATGGGAGGAGGCTTTCGTCATCTAGAGATGGAGAACGGTCTTCTCTTTCGAATTATGGGAGGAATGGAATGGGTGGTGATGGTGGATTGAGAAGAAATGGGAATGGGAGGAGGGTTTTGTCTGATAATGTTGATCGGTCTAAAGATGTAGAGCAATCTTCTCGTTCAAATTATGGGAGGAATGGAGTTGATGGTGATGGTGGATTGAGAAGGAATAAAAATGGGAGGAGGGTTTTGTTTGATAATGTTGGTAGGTCTAGTGATGGGGGACGTTCTTCTCGTTTGAATTACCAGAGGAATGGATTGAATGTTGATAGTAGAATGAGGAGGGATGGTAATGGAAGTAAGTATGCTTCAAGGGGTGTTGATGATGGAGAGCATTCGCCTCGTTCTTCAAGTTCTAGGGCGTACGCATCGAGCTTTGATGGAAGATTGAGGAATAAGGGGGGTGGAAGGAAAGTTCTATCCAAGGATGTATATGGGTCCAATGATGATGGATTGAGGAGTAAGAAGAATGGAAGGAGATTTATGTCAAAGGATGTTGATGGGTCTAGTGGATTTTATTCGGAGGGAGTTGGTTCTGTCAGGAAACAGAGAGGGGCTAATTCCATTGGAGGCCGAAGTCGAGGAAAGTATACTAATAGGAACTCAAACTATGCTTCACCAAGAGGTAGAGGTGCAAAATCTGAAGTTTATGACATGGGTTTGCAACAAGATGGGAGTTATGGGTTCCAGCAGAAGCATGAGCAACCTGACTCTGCAAATTGGTAGAACCATGGGCTCTTAATCTAGCCATTCTAGGGGATCAACAAGAACTGCTATTAGCAAAAGGTTTGCACGAGGAAGATGATTGATTATTTGGCTGAAGGGGTGAATGCCAGTTCCAAAGCCCTTTCCTAGTCAGCTTAATTGTACTGATCTGCATATGTGGCAAATTGAAATTGGACTAGGCTAGGACTAGTCAAATGTCATTTTGTGGAAGTATTTTTTTTTGTTTTTTGTTTTTTTGTATATATTACATTTGAATCTCAAAAGAAAACATTGATTTTCTAATCAAATTCTTTTGTTTATTTATTTATTTAATTTTTAGCTTAGCAAATGCATTTATATGTGTGCTTGTTGAAATCAACTGAAGCCCATAGGAATTATATTTTTGTTGACTAGTGACAAGTATATCACAAATATAGGATGCAGATGCACTTTAGGGGTGATCTCTCATTTAAGTACTGTGTTTGAAATCATACTGTTTTCAATTTTAAAAAAGAAACTCATGCTTCACCAAACTTTATTAAATAAATTTTGTCCTGGATGGATGAAGAGGTTCAAGGACTACATTTATTTCTAAGAAATTATTGTGGTATTTGTATGCTAGAATCTAATGAAGCCGAATTGATGAACAAGGCTTATTCTGAATCAATTTTTGAGCAGGCATAGCTGTTGTAGAGACTTAAAATGTTTGGTATTAGAGGTGGCTTATGGGAATCTGTATATTAGATGTTAATCTTAATATGATTGCTATTCAGTGTTGATTTGGTCATTCCATGAAACAGAAATCGTATGCAAAATTGATAAAGAGAAGGTGTATGGCTTTGTTGTTGGAACTTCAATGGAGCTTGATCTGACAGTTAGGTTCATGTCTTGTTAATGCAGTTTCATCCCACCTTTTAACCTTTGAATGTGTAAATTATGAAGGTTTCTGCTGTTTATTTTTTGTGTTCTTAATTTTGTTTTCAGAGCTCAGTATCATTTACTTTCACTGAGGTCACTCAGCCTTGACACTGTTATGTTCTGAAGACTGAATATCAGTTTTCAGCAAATTTGGCCAGAGTGAGTAGAATGTATGAAAGTTTTAACGCTGGTACTCTTTCTACTCTTAAGTGTATAAATAAACTCCTTCTACCTCTTCATGAGTGAGGGAAGTGGGATCTGAACACATTCTTATTCTTTTTTATTGCATATTCTCTTTTATCCAGAACACTAGAAAAATGACTAGTTACTTAAGTAGGAGAAACGTGAGATTGCATAATATATTAAGTGATTGTGGCAGTTGAACCTTTGTTTATGTGTCATTTCCATGGAACAGATGCATTGGATTCTGCTTTTGCCTCTAAATTCAGTTGTATTCATCATATTAACTTTTGGGATGGCTGTTCATCCATATATTTATTAAAGCTAGTATTTTCCTGGATTTTAAGTAATTGACATGGCTGCATGGTGTGATCAGGAGGTCTTTTATTAGAATATTTGATTTCCATTATTTGTATGTGATATAGGAATTATAAATATTTCAGCATCTTTTGTTGTTTGCTGTCAAAACTGATAGGGATAATGTGAACGAAAATCCCTTGTAGTTATTAGTAAATTAGTAAACCTTGTCAAAACTGTTTAATGGGAATGTTAAGGCTTCTAAACAGTAATATATATGCATATTATAATTTTTTTCCTCCTTATTTATATTTTGCTAAATGCTCATTGGAGTTTCATGCTTTGATTTGGCTCCAGTTTCATTTTCTCATATTGTCTTCTGTTATTTGTGGCTTCTTGCATTTTTGTCTATGATACTACAGGTTTTCCCTCTTTGCATTTTCTCTCATTTCTAGGTTCTGAAATTTTGCTCTCGTGTTTTGTATTCTGAATTTTTTTTCTTCTGTAAACTTTATAGTATTTGACGGATAAAAAAAGAAGAATAAACTGTATAGTATTCTTCATATGTGCATGATATGCTTGCTGCTTGCCATATACTGATCTTGCTTCTTTTCCTATACAATAATCAGTGAATGCTGTATATGTGACAACAGATGCTTATGCATGATTTTTTTTAGGATAGTTACAATAACCTCCCCTGCAGTCTGCGGTTAGCAGTAATTGCACCTAAAAATTGCCTGATTCAGATATTATACTTACCTTTCATATTTTATACTTTATTCTTACACATTGGCACCTATTATTTTATAAAATTTCACATATCTCCTCAATTTCTATGTACGAACCATAAACCTGTTACTCTTAAAATAACAAAGCAAGTGATGTGGATGGAAATTAAGTTTAATGTCTAGATAAATTAGAGGGTCCAGGTGTAATTATCAGTTATCACTAACCTCAGGAAGGTCAGTATAATTATCCCCTTTATTTTTAAATACTATCATGTTTAATGCTTAATTTATAACTTTTTAAACTATAGAATATCATAAAAATTATAAAAAATAAAATAAAATTGTGGAGGTTGCTACCCTCATGGGTAGGATTGTACAGTTGTCACTACTGGAGTGACTACTAATAGCAACATTTTCCTCATTACTGTTTGCAGTTTATACTCTGTCCACCTTTTTTATTTTGCTTCTTTCATTAAGCCTGTGTTTCTTTTCTTCATTAATCTGCATCTTTGGTTCAAGACCAATGCAGAAGACATACAACAATTAGTTGTTTGTCTTCTTTAGATTTATTGCCTAAATTTTTATAAACTACTTTCTGTATACTGTGGTTTCAGATTTTATTGAATTTATGTGGTGGCCACACTACTAGTTATCATTCCGTGAGTCAGTGGCAGACTCTGTTTGAGGCTTTGAGCAAATTAGTTCTGTTACAGCAGCTTGTGTTAGGGGCAGTGTCTATCTTTGATGGCCCTATATTAATTGAAACAAGACATGTCTACTCTCCAAAGTATTATAATCAGCCTACTGGATGCACCATCTGTGGTCAAGTATGCCAATTCCAAACCAAACAGGGACTTAACTGTCTTGTCTTTTGATAGGAAGCAGAAGAAGATATAAAAAATGAATCTGAACTTTGTATTACAATTTCTAATAGCTCAATTACAATCACAACCTTAACCTATCAAATAACAAGATGCCCCCTTCCCCCATTCAGTTACTCTTCTCACCTCTTTCCTTGCCACCTGGCAATTCTGCTACTCACTCTTAACTTGATTCTGGCCTCTCCTCTTCGTGGCTCATTTCCCTATATGTCTGGTTTACGTAAATTGTGCTTTGAATCTTCTAAAATTGCATCCCTTTCAATCAACAAATAATTCACCTCGTGAACAACAGTTTCCCCTGGACTATACTTGATGATGGAAGGTGGCTCCCTGTCATACAATGCCTTGAATGGGCTCATTCCTATTGATACATTATGGGAATAATTAAACCAGAATTTTTCCCATGCGATCTTCTTCATCTGTTTCCTAGGACATCCACACATATAAAGCATCTCAAATAACACAATCATTCTATATGTAACTTCATAATTAGTAATCAAATTATATATTGAATAATTATTTAAGGAATTTCAATTGAATAGTGTTGGACGGACCCTGATTGAAGGTACATAGATAATATCCCTTAAAAACGCTAATTATTAGTCAGAATATAGTATTCCCCTAAATTAGAGAGTATCGCATTATGTTCTTTATTATTTTTTTATTCTGGATGAAAAAATCTACCTAACTAGTTTTCAATGCAATGCAATTCAACTTCATAGTAAATAAAAGCACCACTTTCTCTAAAAAGTTTGGCATTACCAAAACTCAGTAGGTAGATAATTCAATCTCTTAAGCTTGTTAACAAATGTTCAAATCTTACTATGTTAAAAAGAAGAGGACTTTATTAAAAGAGAGAAAATTCATTTCAATTAGTTCTTGCCTCAGCAAAAGTAATCTTCAGCTGGTGTTGGGGAGATACTCTTCCTGCACACTGAAAATAAAATAAAATAAAAATTCAAGGTTTGCTTTCCTTGTTTATATGCTTTCACACACACCAAATTCACAAAAGATGTCTTAATCCAACAGAGTAGCTGCTCATACATAGCACATCATAATAATCCTTCTTAAGACTCATTAAATTTCATGGAGACCCTCACTTTACAAAAGTTCAATAGGACACATTGTGATACAAGTTACAACATGAAAGTCCTATTCTTCTCTAAAACTTCTCTTAACTGACAAACGTTTTCAGGGCTTATCTGTCAAATACTAAAATTTAATGAACTGCTATTTCAACTTTAACCAATGATGAAAGGAAAAATAATAAGAAAACAAGCAAATCAGGATGATGAATTTCTTATGTACAAAAGCCACACATTTGCACAGATGATAATAATAATGACCAATGGTCGTTAATAAAGTAGTGATTACAAACACGCAATATGTAGTTGTAGCATACATTATTCATCCAAAAACTAAACCTTCATGAACTTGCTCAGAATTACATATTTAATATCTTGGCCACTTTGTCACTTCCACCTTTTCCAACCATGCATATACTTGCCAAATCCAAACCTTCAATGCTTCCAACGCTTGCCAAATTTACCATGCTTGAACTTTCCATGACCAAAGTAGCCTCCATGTCCATAACCATGATATCCATGTGCCAAATGGTGGGTCCCATAGGCAGCGGCGGCAGCAGCAACACCCCCTGCCAACAGTCCTCCCATGCCAGCCCCACGCCCTACATAGCAATAAGTCAGCACTACAGGCCATACCAACAACAAAAGCCTTATCACACTAGTAGCATGTTTGGATGTAAATTTAGAAGGACTTTTAAAACTTTCTCTATTTGAAAAAAAATTCTTAATTTTTAATAGAAAAGTTTTTAAAAATTCTTCTAAACTGTATTCAAACAGATTTCAAGGTAAGGTTGACTACATAAATCACACGACGTGATTCGGCTTGGTTAAAGATCAAGTCAGTACTATAGACCATATTGAAATTAAATCATAATTCTTCCGAATTCTAGAATTATTTTTAAGTATGAGAAGCAAGATACTTTGTATTACAAAGATCTCAAGTATTACTTGGATATAACCCATGCAAGAAAACATTAAGAGAAATCCTTAAATTAAACTTTTCCACTTGGTTTCTGTTTTAATGAAAGTATATATTTTGCCAATAAACCATATTTAAAAGTCTCTAATTTTTCTTATATATACGAAAATCAAAACATATTTAAAAGCCTCTAATTTTTCTTATAGAACCAATGATTGATTCATACAATCAACTCAACCTAGTTGAATAAATCTTTGATGTTGGTGATGGTGTTAAGAGGATATTAGAAAGTGGAAATTAAGTTTCAAGCATAACCATATGAAGAAAAACTAGTCATACTCTCTCTAACACTTTTGCTAACACTCTCTCTACTAGTGGTTGAAAATCATAAATTTTGGTGGATTCTACCACTAAACTAGGAAAGAAACTCATTAAATGAGATGTGAGATCACACAAATTGTAATTTTTAATAAATTTCACTAAAAAATAAGAAAAGTGTTAAAGATAGTCTCAATGACATTCTTCTAACCATATAATAAAAAGGATAAAACTTAGGTACAATAACATAGATGTTATTAGTGTTGTTCTGTAATTAAATTTAGGATTCCATCTCGATAATATGCATAAATGTATATTATTAACATTTGCATTAAATATAAATGTATATTATCGAAATAAAATTTTGATTCTAATTAGAGAACAACATCAACATAAGTACTGCACCTAAGTTTTCTCCAATAATAAACTCCATAAGAAATTTGGAATGTTAAAGTGTACCTGCATGATGTGGAGGTGGATAGCCATATGGAGCAGGATAAGCAGGTGCATGATATCCTGAATGAGGGTATCCAGAATGTGGATACCCTCCTGGTGGTGGATACCCTCCTGCAGGTGGATATGCATGTGGATATTCTGAAGGGTAGTAACCAGAATGAGGGTATCCTGTTGGAGGTGGATATGCAGGTGGTGGATAGGCTGTTGGGGGATACCCTCCTGGAGGTGGATAGCTTGATGCTGGGTATCCATATGGAGGAGGAGGATAGGGGGGTGCAGATGGATAACCTACGTGTGAATGTGAAAACATACCTCTCTCACTACTCTCACTATCATCCTTGTCTTTTTTAAAGCTCTTGCTCATGTTGATTCAACCTATAACCAAAAGAAAGAAAACGATTCTCAATGCACAACAAACTCTCATCCAAATAACATCTCTCACTAAAAGAATGCATAATCCAATGGAATCAGCTCCTTGTTAGTCTTGAAAATTTTCATTCATCTATACTTCAAACTGGAAAGGGTAAAAGAAGCATATTGAAAAAACTAATTGGGAAATCTAATAACTCAACTTACACTCATCATGTTTCATGAATGAAAAACAATGTAAATTGGAAGGAAAGGGAGTTATCTGCATCAAATCTGTCCCAACCAATTGCTAGTAAGAATTTCAGCATTTTTGAAAACCATTTTGAATACAACTTGACTTGAATTTTTAGAAGCAAGTGGCATCAATTTTAAAATTTGACGTGGAAAATTTAAGGAATAAATGCGTTCAAGACGTATTCTCAAACACGCACAATAACAATAATCACACCCCATGGCTCCACCATCCTTGCACATTTCCATAATCATATCTTTGCATTATTAAAGTTAAAGGTATACCATATATTATTCATCTAAATGATCAATTTTCATACAGTAAGGAATTCATTTTAACATACAAAAGCATGAGTAATTAAATCCAGAATCTGAGATTCCTTATAATAATTCAATAGTAATTATGTCTTCATAACTTTATAAACTAGATTTTTCAATCAACCCTTCTATCAGAATGGCAGTGATTCAACATGGGTCTATGGAAATGTCCAAGGATGGTGGAAACAATTATCACTAATCAAACAACTTAATAAAAGGGGGAGATAATTATTTATTGTTTCTTTGGCTTTTATTTGAACTCAATATATACAAGAACAAAATAAAATAAACGATTCAGATAACTGTACTAACAAAAGAGTATTACAGAAATTTAAAACGTCATTCCATATTATAATATAAAACCTATAAATTCTAGAAACAGTTCCCCAATGAAATACTAAAATAAAGTTTAGACCAATGTTTTCAAGGATGGAATGAAGACATTCCTTAACCTTAACATGTAAAAGCAGTAACTTACATATGATCCAGTAAGTCGATAATTCGAGATCATGGACAAACAAATTGATTTTAATGAGCATTGATTTGTGCATTTGTGTCCATGCAGGAAAAAAAATTGTGAAAAAATAATAATTCATCATAAACAACACCAAGAAAAGATTATAAAACCAAAAAGAAAAACGATGTTCTATTTTCATCCCCTCATATATCTCAGCCCTTATTTGAAACAAGCGCAGCGAATATATCAATATCTAACAAACCCTTAAAGGGCAATGAAAAACATTAGAACAAAGTTCATCGCCACTTTCAGAATCATCAAAGTTTAACCAAGTTGCAGCAGGGGAACAATTTGATCAAAAACATGTTTCTTTTATCATGATAAGGTCAAAAAGGGTCAAGAGAATCTGAGACAAAACAACCACCATGATTGGCACAATCCAAAAACCATGGAGAACCAAGTTCATCATGATACCACAGATGTTGAAATTTACCAAAGAAAGGAAGAAGAATCATAACATGTCAATCAAACCAAAGTGAAACCACAACACATTGCCACACACAAGATTTGGTAGCCAACAATGGAAAAAAAATAAAGAGACAAAATCATTAATTGTTGCTTCATGCTTACTCAAATGGAAGTTGTAAATGCTTTCTCTAAAATCTTTCAAAGGTGATGAAAGAAAATGTTTGCGGCAAAAAGAAAAAATAACTTGAAACTTTACCTATTCTTATACTTATCGTTTCTAAATTTTGAAAAGCAAACGTAGCTTTGACGCGTTTGCTTTATGTTTACGACTGCCATGAACTCCACGTAATACCATGGAATATTTACATTTTTTGTTTACAAACATAACCATAATATATATATATATATATATA